TAAGCAAAACATAAGCAACGTTCAATGCTATATACTACTTGTTTAAACTTTGTCTCTAAGAGCCACTTCTGCAAAAACAAAATAAGAGAAGAAACTTATTAAGAAGCAATATTTCACTTTAATTAGACCAAAAAAGAAATAGATAATTACCATCGATAATGGTTATCCGACGACTTGTCACCAGCCGGAATGCAATGCAATGTATTAGATCTACTAACTGATGATATAAAAAAATAAACAGAGATCACTAACACCTTTTTGGTGTTAGTAAATATGTTTAGCATATCATGTTAACTTCATAAATCATGTCAGCGACACTACCACCACAAGGACCACACTACAAGAAAACATGGTGATTTCCTACGAAAATTCCTACAAAATTTTTGGAAGAAAATATTTCCTACCAAAATACTTCGCAATTATTACAAAAACAGCAACGGGTAGGAAATAAGAAAGAATTTTACTACGAAAAAGCGTGTCATAAAGTGGTAGGAAAGTTTCCTACGCATTATTGGAAGGAAAACGATCAGAAATACCCTTCACTTTTCCTACGAAATTTTCTACAAAAGTTCCTTCGTCGTGTTTTTGGTAGGAAATTTCCTACCAATATCTTACCAACTACGATTTCCTACGGGCGATTTCCTACTATTTTAATCGTAGGAAAATGGTGAAAAACGGTTGTTTCCTACCGTTTTTTCACGCAACTGGTCGTAGGAAATGGCTGTTTTTCTTGTAGTGCCAGTTTCGTTAGCAGTTAGATATCATAAACATGAGAGCTAATGTATATATCTATATTAGGTAATGTCTCACGTGTTGCATGAATTTGAAATTAAATAGCAAATGTGTGATACTTTGAAACTAAATATATACTAAAATATATTAATTAGTTATTTGTATTTCATATAACAATTTTTTTTGTTAAAAATAGTTAATTTATTTTTTAAAAACTAAACATTTTTAATTACACAATTTGGCATACAATATAAAAAGGTAGTGTTTTTTTTTCTAGACGAAAATTTGTATCTTGGTCGACCCATAATGCTTTGATAGTGTTTCAAGGAACATTTTTAATATAATCTATATTTTAATAATTAAATGTGTTAGTTTTAAATAATTTTTTAAACTCATACTTATTAAATACTTAGACTTTAGTTATATTATTTATGAGTTCATATGGTGTGAAGCACTTAAAAAGTCTTATCCAAAACTGGTCACGTAAAAGGCCACAAGCTAATTGATTTGAAACAATGAGAAAGGAAGGATTTGAAACTACCAACTCAATGTTAAATTATGGTTTTCTTTTCACTGGAATATTGTCAATTCCCCGTGAACTTTGCTTTATCAAATGTATGCACATTATTTTGAGTTGTCCTTATAACAACGTAAACTTAACTAAATTTTGAATTTCCTACTCAGGAGAATATTTTCTTTTCACTGTTGTCTCTATTGGTAGTGTTTTTATCTTGTATTTGTCGGTTTTGTTTCTTGAGATATGTAGTGATGTATTTTGGTATATTTCGTGTAACTCGTTATTTTTTCCCTTTATTTGTTGTATTATGCTGGATTTTATAATATCTAAAATTGCCCGACCTTTTTCAAAAAAATCATTAACTAATATCTCATACTTATTAGATAATATGTAGTCTGAATTAAACATACACCACCGAATTAATACAAAGCTGAACCGGATTAAACTCTACTAAACCAATCATACCAGACCAAATCAATTTAAACCGTCTAAACCGATTAACCCAACTTAACCAGCTAAACTAGATTAAAACAATTTAACCAATCATACAAGTCATTTGAGATTAAACTAGATAACCATATTAAATCAATTTAATCAATCAAATCATTCAAACCAACTAAAAACCAGCCGATGACAATTAAAGCAACAATCCAATAACCATTACTAATAAACCATCAATCATCCAGATATAGTAGAATCATCCTAACATGCTTATAAATTCCAGAACTAGCATTCCTAACAATATCATCACGAAATACATAAAACATTCAGCGAGCTCCTATATCATTCTTCTCTCCTTGCCCTGATTCCACGGTCACACCTTGCTTTTATCTGCATTACCGAAAGAGTATTTCAAAAAATACTTAGTGAGGCACTCATCCCAACTACTAGGCTATACACACAAGCAATACGACTCAGGCGCTGTTGAGGACTGGTGTCGGTCGACACTCGCTACTGAAAACCCAAAATGACGAGTAGTGTCGATCGACACCCACTACTCGTGTCGATCGACACCGCAACCCTAACATCGCTCCAGTCACTTCTCCTCGACGGATCTTCATTTCCTTGCACACCATGGACAATAATGACGTTCCAGAAGGACGTTCAGAGGCACCAAAACACAGAAAACAAGCACACAAGCAAATGAATCAATCAACAATCATGAAATTATCCAAACATGGATCAAAACTGCCTAGTTAAGCCTTGGTCATGCACTCACCTTGAGATGGAAGGAACAGTGACAAAAAAACAACACAATCAGAGGGAGCACAAGACTCTCTTAACACCACAGCCACGCATTCTCCCTTTCTTTTTGCTAAAACTCTCAAAAAAGCACCAAACCTCACTACAACCCACATAGTCCTCACATGAAATGTTTAGAAGGTTTTCACTCACTAGAAGACAAAAGCGGCTAAACACTCCAAAATCAATATTTCCTCTTTTAATACTCGTGCCCTAGGGTTAAACCAAACCACCCAAATCAATTTTTTTCGATTTAAAACAAACCGGTCAAATTGGTCGATCGACACCACCCATTTCCGAACATGGGCGTTACAATGCCTCAATAATAGAGAAATACACTAATATTTGAAATGTTGAAGCAAACACACACAAATATAGAGATTTAGAAACACATTTATTTTAATTTTAGAAATATTCAAGAATGACTTCATGAGATTCAGGATAGTTTTCATAAAAATTAAATGAAAATGATATTTTTAAAGTGTTCTTGTATACATGTCATAATGTTTGAAAACAATTCAATGCATAAAATTCATCATACTGGAGGAATTTGTGATACATTAAGACACAACATAAATCAAAGATTGACAAACTCCTCTATTTCTTTTTAAATTGAGGAAGAATTTCATAATATTTAGTACGTCCTTAAAATTTAAAAAGCTTTACCTAAAAGATGCCGGTGTTATTTTCAAGTTGTAGATGTTCACGAGTAGCTCCATTTATACCTCATCAGTAGCTTCAATGGAGGAGGTGATTCATCAAACAAAGACAGAGAAAGAAGAACCCATATATGGTGGCTAAATAACCTAGGAGGTTTAAGGAAGGGATTAAAAGATGTTCGTTATGGCAACTGTTCTTCGCAATGACTCATTTTTCTAAAACCACTAAGAGTTATCTTGATCACCGAGATTTCATAAGTTATCTTGATCAGAGAGATTTCACAAGTTTTCTCAACACCATTTAAAGAAACTCCTCAGGATATTACTCTCAATCCAAACACCAACACAAGAAGCACCATCACTCCAAGTAAGCACACCACTTACTATAGGACATTCTCCCAGAAACCTACGTATTTCTTCCCATGATGCCAAACAATCAACCCTTTTCCACAAATTATACCACTACGCCATTCTCCAAATGTACAGACCTCTACCATTTTGCAGATTCCTTCTCCAAGTACTTTGGTAGAAATCTCAATTTGCATTACGCTTTTTCCCAATAACCATGTTTCCTATCCCAATTTTCTCTGTAAATATCTCCATGTAAAAGTTCCAAACTTTCTATTCTCCCAGATTTGAATTTCACCTTCGTAAGTAGCTCCACTAGGCCACGAGTTGCCTTTCCTTGAAATTTTGCCTCGTTTCCAGTCACCTTCTTACATGCACCCATCTTTCCAGCGATCCTTGCCGGGTCCGTGTGGAAACCCGCCGGAGAAGCTTTCGATGTAAGGATCTCTGTTGGGAAGTGGCTTCGCAATATCAACTATAAGACTGGGATTAATTCATGCTCCTAGTCGTTTCTTGATATTTCCCATTGGAGTAGAAGACTGAGCAAACAACACCATACCATCTTGTATTGCTACTTTGTAGCTGCTTAAAATCACCAACACCAAACAAAGCATCAAATCCGAACCCGATTTGTGATGGACTCGATGAATATCTGATTAAATCATTTGGGTGAAGCTTCCAACTATTGATTTACCACTTATGGAAATATTTGAGATCGGAAATAAAGATCTCATATTGAAAGATTCATTAAAAGCTTCATCGGAGAAAGCAAAAAGATAAAAAGTAGTGCTATCCTAGGGTATTTCTCTAAATTTAACCCTTGATGTAGCACGAATAATGATCATATTATTAAGAAAATCATATTACATGATGTTCAAGTTTTGTATATTTATTTATATAATTAAAAGAAGGGTTTTGTCTATATTGCGTATTTATTTTGACTTTGCAGGATTGATTTTTATTTTCTGGATTTAGAGAGTAAAGTTGCAAAAAATGGTGACTTGGAGAGTATATTTGCACAAAACCCTTATGGCCGATACACTTTGTACTTAATAAATTATTGAAGATAGATATATTAAACAAAAAGTCATTTGTTTTTTTTAATTAATATATTTTTGTAGATTATATACTAATGTGGTAGATTTTTTACAAAAAGTATTAGTCAAAATTTAGACCAATGTAAATGGAAAATTAAGAGTCAAAATTTAGACTAATGTAAATGGAAAATTAAGAGTCAAAATTTAGTCAAATGGAAAAAACATTAGAATTAAAAGTCAAAAGTGAGGCTAAACATCTCTCTCTCTCTCTCTCTCTATATATATATATATATATATATAGACATGGCATAACTCTTTGAAGATTATATTCATATAACAAAAAAAGGCAAGGTAAATCTTGATTTAATTAATATGAATTCGTAGGAAACGGTTGAAGTCTTTATTGAAAAAGAAATTTTTTTTATATATATAAAACATTGCAAATAAGTCATTAAGCAAATTTTCTAACAGTGATTTGAACATTTTTTCTATAGGTTTTTCTTTTTTCATCTGCTTGGATTTGTTGCATCCTTCACAAACACAAGTGATGGCAACGAAGTGTTTTTCACCGTTTTTACTATTTTCGTTGATGATTTTTGCTCTCATCCTTATGCCTATGATTTCAGGTACTATATTTATTAGTTAAATATGCTTTGTTTAAAGTACAAATAATTAAAATTTTCAGAATTTTTTTTGAAATTTTGAATTTTATAAATATTCTTTGTAAATTACTTACAAGCACAGAGTTTATTTATTTTTATTTTTTAATTAAATTAATTTTACTTTGTATAAATTGATTTTATTGTGTTTGTTACGAACCAAATATGAGATCATAGTTCTGAACGGCATGAAACCTTTTCAGATTTTCACGTTTTTAAAACATAATTCGACCGACAACATATTCTTCAAAATCACAGAATGATAAAACGTGAAAATAAAAAATAATTTCAATTAATTTTGTAACTTGATTTTATAGAATCTCATTCAACTATCTTTTTTTTTTTTTTGCTTATTCCACTGCTTTACAATTCTATTGTAAATTGATAGTAATCCTGTTTTAGTGATTATGCTATTTCATAATTTAATTAATTTACTTTGTTTATATGGTTGGTCAGCTTTCATGCCAATGAAGCCATATATTGAACCATGTTTGAAGGGATGTAAGAACCAAGCAGAATGCATCAAAACGTGCATGTCGATGGGGCATCCCAAAGGAGGAGATTGTCTAGGAAATCAGTATGGCAATTATTGTTGTTGTATAGCTGGTTTAATGTCTCAAAATGACTCTCCGATATCTAAATCTAATGTTCCTACTTTCTAATCACTTCCATATTTATATGTAGTCCCAATTAATATATCAATATGAATAAAAAATAGAGAGAAAGAAGAAAAAGAAACCACTTTGATGAAAAACATCAAATCTTAGGCTACTAGATGAATATCTAAAGAGCTTGAAGGGAAAAAAACAACCGATTCGGGCATTTTGGTAAAAGAGTCTTAAACCCATTCGAGTATTTATATTAATCGGGTTCGTATTTAGAAAACACTTATTCGGTTCGGTTTCTTTGGGTTACACACGATAACGAATATACACTTTAAAAATCGGTTTGGTTTTGATTTTTTATTCGATTATAAACAAAAAAATCCAAAATCATTTCGATCTTAATGTTAAAAACCAAGGAAAAACAAAGAGAAAATACTCAAAAACCAACAAAGGTTCAAAGCAACATACAAATCCATATCTTTTAAAAACTAAGTAACAAAAAAAACAACCATGTAAGGAAGTTTTTACAAGATTAGTAGTGATAATTTAGTAATCTTGATGATATATCCTAAGGGTTATATACATTTACACAGAACTTATAAAACATCGGATTTGTTAGCGTTTTTTCGGATTTTGGATAATACCCAATCGGGTTCCGGTGTCCGAAACTTATAAGTCCTAGACCCATACGAGTATTTTCTATTATCGGGTATGGGTTCAGTTTGGGTCTTTCGGATCGCGTTCAGATATGGATTTCGGATCCGGGTATTTTGCTGAGGCCTCATAACATTAACCCAAGGAGGGAAAGGAATATATAGGAACTCTCACTCCCCGAATTACAATTAATCCAAATATGTCATTTGCTATTTTTCCTCAACAATACTTGGTAACTCTTTTATTCACCCCTTGGAAACTCATTTACTAATCTAAGGCTCCGAAAGCATCATAAATTTGGAGGAAATCTTAGTAGAAGGAAACCATCATCATCAATTACTACTTTTAAACTTTTAAATTTTAAAATTAGATAAATATTGAAACTTTTAAACAGCTCAAATATTATAAATAATTAAGCTTCATAGAATATTTAAAATAATCTAACTATTTAAACTCTATATAAAAATTGAAGTGTTATTAATATTAGAAAATGTAGAATAATATAAATTTTTGAAACTTTTAAATTTTTTTAAATGTTATTAATATTTTAACTCTAAACTAAAGTATTACGGATTATTAACTACATATAATTTTAAAATTTCCACCAAGTTTAAGCTAAAGTACTATTTACCTTACCATGATGATAGTTTTTAGTTTTTTTAACAGTATAAATAAAATTATATAAAAAAAAAATCTGGAATATTTTTTTTTGGTCAAACACGGTCAACGCCGGAGTCAACACCGGTCAACGCCAGAGTCAGTTGACCGGTGTACCAGAATTTTATAACTATGGTATTGTATAGTTGATGCATGTGGTCATGCAATACATTTAGTTCGTCTAGCTGAGTATACAATATGATATTTGGTATGTGTGACCATGCATTCTTCTATATTTGGTGTAGCCAGCCATCTTTTTTCCTAATTTTAAACATGCGTTTAATTTTTTGGCAGTTATACCACGTGACGGGTGTAAGACGGGAGTGATTGTAATATGCTTGAAAAATATTATATGACGGGATGAGTAGTAAGACATGGAAAAATTGAATTGATATTACTAAAAATTTAAATTTTATTAATCTCATACTTCAATACGGGTAAAATCTTTATTTTACTATTTTCTAAATTCTAAAAAAACTCTATAAATTCAAGAGAATATGAATTATAAAGACAATGTTTGCCACGCGGTGTACCGCGAGTTAAAATATAGTATTATGTAATATGTTTTCCATAACAGAAAGTTTGACTCAGTTTAATATTTTTTTGTCAAATAGTTTTAATTATTTTTCAGTTTGAGATTTTTTCTATATTTAAAATTATTTTTCTATATAAAATCTAGTGTTCGGAAATACGGCATGATATGTACGACCATATATATACGATGTATATATGTTGTACGGTGGGAAGCCATTTTGTATACTCTTTCTATATATGGCGTTTATACGGTGAACTAGTCAGTTGCTCGTGTTACGCGCGTGAGTTTTATTATATTGTTTATGAGTAATTAGTTCATATTTTATTTCCTATTTATTTTTTCACTATAGCATATATTTTTATTATTTTCTTAGGTTGTGTTTGTATAAAAAACCTGTTGAGTTTTAGTTTCATTAGTAGTTGACAAATTGAGTGTGTATAGTATCGGTCGATGTGTGGGTGTAAACGGAAGTGCGGTGGAGAATCATAGAGAAACATGTGATATTAGGGTTCCTAGCAGATATAGATCTAGATGTTAATATTGTCGGCTTTTTTAATATGTTGGCACAAAAGATGAAAATGATTTGTGGGTTTCGGGTGGATACATTATCTCTTTATAAATTATCATAATTTATTTTTTTGTTTTACGTTTTTCTTTTTTTTTGGATTTGACGGAATTTATATCTCTTATGATCATTTTTATACTATTATATATTCATTTCTGATTTTCTGTTTTATATATTTTGTATCATATGGAACAATTTTAAAATTTAACATATTAGTATAATTTACTTTATATATACTAATTTACTTCATATCATTTAATTATGTTTTTATTTTAATTTTCAATTTTTATGAAATATTGTTAATTTTGTTTTTGTTTATTAGTGTACCATATGTGGTGTATTGAACAAAATTAGTTAAATTCATATTGGAAACCTTTACAGAAATATTATTTTTATTGTCACCATTTTTATACGTGTTTTTAAAATGAGAATTCATGTTTCGTCCCAACCTATCTTATTTATGTTGGAGAATTTTGTGACACATAAATTAAATAGATTTCTATTCTCAAAATTTCTTACATTTTGTTCTATTCACGTTAAATCCCAAAATTTATTTTTCTTTTCCAAAAATACCATAAAAGTTGTTTTCCCGAAAATGCCGTAAACATAAAAAATTGATTTTTGAAAGTGTAGAATTGATTTTTTTTAAGTTTTGGTTGACTAGTTTATATTTAGTGTATAGTTTTAGGAGTAGTCTTTAGTTATAATTTAGAAGTTGGTTTTTGAATGTTATAAAATGTTGTTAGCATATGAATAAAGTTACACCATGAGGGAAAATCTCAAAAAGATACAACTGCGGTTTTATGACCATGAATGCACCACTGGCAAAGTGCAATTAACTTCAGCAAACATGTCAGCGACACTGCCACCACAAGGACCAATTTTGTTAGCAGTTAGATATGAAAGACATGGAAATCAAAGTTATTATCTTTTCTCATAAATAAATGAGAATTTTTGTTATAATATTCTAGAGTACTAACCATCAAAAGAACTGAAAATTTTGAGATTTTCTTAGGTTGCGTTTTACATTTGAGATATTCGAAAAGAAATATATCATGATCTAATTTGTGGAATAAATTAAAATTTATATAAGAAAAATATAAGCAAAACAGAAGCAACATATAAGCAATCAAATATAAAAATGTAGTTGCGTGAAATCCAGAAATCCAGAAATGGTTCAGAAACATTATCCTCTTCAATTTATGAACCGTCATGGCCTCGTAGCCACATTCACCATGGTTATGGCAATAAGAACATAGTTAAGTGAGGTTTCTCAAAAAAAAAACTTTGAGAAGCTTACACGTGGCACCTAAAAATTTGACATGTGCCATCTTTTTTTTCTCCTCACTTAAAAATTAATAAGTATATGACACATAAAAATTTGACATGTGTCATCTTTTTCCCTATTTTTCTCATTACTTAAAAATTAATATTAAATCATACCTATGAAAAAAAGATTTTTATTAAACATTTGACATCTACAATTGAAAACAGATTTCTATATTATTATATAATAAAGTAAAGTTTCTCAAAAAATAAGCTTTGAGAAGCTGACCCGTGACACATAAAAATTTGACAAGTGTCATCTATTTTTTCTCCTATTTTTCTCCTCACTTAAAAATTAATTAATTTATATTAAATCTTACATATTAAAAATAAATTTTCATTAAATATTTTACATCTATAATTAAAAACGAATTTGTATCTCATATAATAAATGTAGGTTTTTCTACATTTCAGATCTATCTTTAATTGGATGGAAAAAAACACTCGCAACTTGGACAATGGATCATAAGCTTCAACCAGAAAATAAGAAAGTACAGTCCCTGAATCAATCATTGTCCCATAACCACCATTGGCTACTAAGAAAACAGAGAGGTCAATTTGTAGTATCTGATCATTTATAGCAACACTCTTCAAATTCACATAATTTCCTGAAATGTATTTTGTAATATATCAAAACATAGGTTAGACATTCTATTTTTACTAGTATCATATTAAGAGTTAATTGAGAAGTACAATAGAAGTTTCAAGAACTTAGTGCAATCAAGAGGTGTGTAGACCGTATTTGCTATATGATTTTCAACTAAAACCATTACAACCCCTCACCATCTTTATTCCTTTGAGATAGAGCGATAATATTTTTGGTGCAAGACGCTGACTCAAAAGTTGTGAGCTATTGATAATCTCCCTTGCCTAACCCAATGATGCCATGTATTGTTGTCTTTGGCATCGATATATATTTAGCCAGTAAGTTGCTACACCTAAAGAATTAATAGAAAAACATGGAAAAGCTGTATTAAAAGTTAGAAACAAAGCAAACCAGTTTCTCATAAAGGAAAAATTAGGTTACCTAAAAACAAATGGCGCAGAGGAATTGTCGTGAAGTTGCTTGAAAACACGGTCTCGAAAGAAATGACATCTGAGATATAATATCTAGATGTCACACTTCCGTCGCCATACTCCATCTGATAGGAGCAGCTTTCCCGCGGTGAACATTGAAGCTTACCACTGAGGATGACGCTTTGATCAAAGGAACTTAGATTCTGATGAAAAGCCACAAATCAAACCAATTATTATGAAGATCTATATATTAAGGAAATGTATAAGCACTTGTTTTAGAATAGCCGACGCATGAAATGCAGCTGACCCATAAAACATCACAAAATATGTCAGCGACACTGCCACCACAAGGACCAATTTTGTTAGATATGATAGACATTGAAATCAAAGTTATTATCTTTTCTCATAAAGAAATGATATTTTTTTAATAATATTCTAGAGTACTAAGCATCAAAAGAACTGAAAATTTTGAGATTTTCTTAGGTTGTGTTTTACATTTGAAGAATTCGAAAAGAAATATATGATGATCTAGTTCGTGGAAAAAAATAAACTTTATATAAGAAAAATATAAGCAAAACATAAGCAACATATAAGCAATCATATATGAAAATGTAGCTGTATGTTCAAATTTGAAGAACCAAAAAATATAGTAGATGAATATTAGTTAGAAAACAAAATTATTTAGAAACAAGATTGAGAGATGAATCTAGAATCATAAAATTTTAAACTTAAAAAATCTATTAAGATAAAAAGATCATACGCTGAGAGAAGTTGGTTAACGTCTCTTCCAACTTAAAAATTGAAAGACTTGCGGACATGAGACCTTAATAACCGTCCATGTCGAGCATAATCAAAATCCAGAAGTTGGGGAAGATTGCATGAAGATTGAGTTCATGGCTCTGCATCATTGTAAACAGCTCAAGAGCCGGATCAAGCTCACTATAATGACAATGCCACTGGATTAGCGAATTCCATGTACTGATATTAGGCTTGGAATCACCAGACCTCTGCATATTCTGTAAAACTTGTAACGCTTCATCGAACTCTCCGTACTTACCAAAGTATCGATAATGCTATTGTATATCTCCACATCCACATGATCAGGGGCTTTATCCTGATCCTAGGATATTTGTGAATCTTATTACTTGGATGGGAGAGAAATAGAACTGGAATATGATAGATAAACATTTTGAAGCCATAAAATATAAGGAACATAATGATACACAAGCTATTTGTGCAGCTTTAGTTCAAATTATTGGACAGTTTGAGAGTTTTCAGAATGTTGAGGAACTTGTGGGTAAACTCAAGTCACAAGGTGTTGCTCCTTCAGCTATATGTTTTGCACTTTGGCAAATGCATAGGCTCAGCAGGTTGGTTTCCTATCTTCCAGTGTTTTTTGTTCTCGGTTTCTTTTGTTTGTGGCCTGAACTAGGTAGACGCTATACATGGATGTTTCAGCAACTGTCGATATTATCCAATTCTTCTCAGTTTCCAACTTTTGACTTTTTTAGTGTCCTTGTATAGCTGAACTTGGGGACTGATTTAAGGACCCCTCATGTCTTTCATAATAATATATGGGGTTATCGGTATTCCTTTTGGTCCTTCTATGATTTCAATCCTGTAGTTTCTTTGTCCTCACTTACATTACTTCACCTTTTGATATAATTAAATTAGTTCAGTCCTACATTTAAACTTTTTGGTATATAGAAGAGTAACATATGTTAACAACTGTAGATGATTCATATATTCACATAGCTAAGATTTGGCATGAGCTATCCGCATCAGATATATGTCATAGACGCTATACATCTTGGAAAAGGCCAACGAGATTGCAGCATCAAATGTAACCAGGTTAACCATAATTCCAAGTTAACATGTACAAAAGGCCATATTGCTTTGAAAACTACGTTAGAGAGAGGAGACTTGCAAGAAAAGGCCAAATCACAAATGGTTATGGTAAAAAAGCATATGGAGCAATAATGGAACATCGTTTAAAGCTGAAGATCTTACAACATCGGTCAGACTACACATGGTTGAAAATGAAAGAACAAAGAATCAGAATAGGCTCATAATAATAATAGCCCTTTTGACAAATTGCTTGGAGCCTTGTGCATCACTGTGGTTAGGATTACCAATTCAAGATAGAATCGAATAAAAACGACATTGCTTTATTAATCATCAAGAGAACTTGTTTCTAGACTATGGTCTAGCTGACAAAAATGTTGTTAGAGGAATCTTAATAATTAATTACAAGTTTTAAAATGTTAACAAAGACAGTTTAGTTCACTAACGAAATAAACTATTTTTTTTGGTTGATTGAAAACCTGCCAATTGCCCAATAGTAATGGAATAAACTATATATATAGATATATAAAAGACAATTATTTTTTTCCAGTTTGACTAATTAAATAGGCTCATAAAATAAATTATTTGAATATGATTTTCAAAATAAAATAAAAATATTTTAACATTTTTTCAAAATAAATTATTTAAGGTCGCTTAAAAACTACCTAAAATTAATAATTTATCAAAGTTGCATACCACAAAGCTACTCTTATCATTCACATGCAAACATTTTTATATACCATTCCATACATGTTGGAATAGTTACCGTTAGAGATTTTTTAATGGATACAAAACAAAAAACAGGTTAGGTATCAGACATAATAACCGAATTATCCATTCGTGTTATTTATTTTATTAAAACTTTATCTAAAAATATCTAAAACATCTAACATATATTTAAAATAATCTTAATTACCTAATCTAAAATTTACATAAAACCCACTTTACGAGAAAATGCGTAGATATTTTTATATATTCTCCGATTTATCCAATATTTTTGGATAATTCGTTACTCGAAAATACTAAATATAAACTATGTAAAATAGGGATTTTTTTTTCTTTTTTGCTTGCAGCTGAATTTTAGTTGAAATATATTCACATCAATCATGTCAATTCGCACAGATTCCACAACAAATTTAACTACAATACAACATAAAATTGCTTACCATTTAAATTAAAAAACCCAAAACTGGTTCAGATTTGGAAGAATACAAAAAAATATTTTTTTTTGTCGACTACAGAAAAATTAACTTGGGAATTAAGTTGTAATCTTTTGACTCAAAATAAAAAATAAAAAACATGTATTAAAATATATAAAAACCTAAATTAAAACACTATTTTAACCTTTAAAAAAAACAAAAACTCATAAAGATTCAAAACCAAACCAAACTGATGTTACTTAACCAAAACAGGTGGTTGGTCTTTGCCATTTCTCACATTTTAAAATAAACAAAAATTTCCCGGAATTAAAATGGAGGGAAAAAAACAACAACGTTATATAAAATGACGAATTTACCCCTAGACACCATCACTTAGAAAAAAATATTAAATTTTTCCTCGATTCGCGCATGAGCCCTCTCAGTAAATAAAAATTAAATAAAAAAATTAAAACCCCTTTGTCTCCCATTTTTTCACATCACAAACCAAAGAGAGCCTAAACCCTTGTGAAGTGAAAAAGATCGTTTATTGTGTTCTTCGTCGTCTCTTCGTCTTCTTCTCTACCGATCCAACAATGCTAATCTCCGGTGAACCTCCGTCGCGTTCTCGTTAATCTGCCGTCGTTTCTCTTCCTTTCCCCCCTCCGATTCCTTCATTTCCCCGTCTGATTTCGCCGGTGCTCGTTTCAATAATCAAAATCTCCGGTACGGTTATGTTATGAGTTCCGTTTTCCGATTAAAGTTCTGGGTTTCTTCTTCTTATCGTTTCTCGATCTGATTTGTTCATACAAGTGCATTTATTGATTTTTTTTTTTTTTTTTTAAATTTGATTTTGATTTTGGTTTATTGTGAATTTTGGATGTAGGGGTTCTCTATATGGATGAGATTTGAGAGCATTGTGTCTAAGCGTAATATGGAGCGAAAGAGTTTTAACTTAAACGAGTATCCTTCAAGTCCTAGTGCAGAGTTCAAAAATGGGATTGAGGAAGTTCATGGTTTACCAATTGTAAGTTTTAGTGATTCTGGTGGTAATAAGGTTGACCGTGAATGTGGTAGTTTAGTGGATGATGGTAATATGGAGAATGTAACTGAGATGAAGAGTAAGAAAAAAGTTAATGTTAAGCCGGTTGAGCGCGAAATTCTCATTACGAGGAGGGTTCTTCGGTCAGGCTCTGTCGCGAGGGATATAGTGAGTAGTGGAAAACTTAGTAGAGGTATGAGTAAGAAAAGAAAGGGTGTTGATATTGGAGATTTAAGTGAGGGTGATAAGATGGGGAAAGTTAGTGGGATGTGTTCTGTGGATGAAGTGAAAGAAGATGTAAAACAGGAGAAAGTGAAATCTTTTTTATCTGAGGTGATTCATGGAGATGATTTTCGAAGTCAGATTAAACTGGGATTTAAAGATGATAAGAATGGGAGTTTTGAGCCACATGAAAAAGAAGGGGAAGTGAAACGCAAAAGAGGAAGGCCTCGAAAGTTGAAGATCAGCAGCCAATCTGATGAGAACGGCTCAATTTCATATTGTAAACTTGGGATGTCTTTAGATAAGAAGGAAGAACTGGTAAGAGATGATAATGTTGAGAAACGTATTGGCAGAAGCTGCTTTAGTGAGGGGAAAACAGAAGTAAAACTTGAGCTCGAGGAGTATGGTGAAGCTAAAGAGATTCTTGGAACTGATTTTAGGAGCCAGGTTAAGGTTGAAATCAAGGATGATGGGTCATATGATAAATGTGGGAATATTGAACCACGTAATGAAGAGTTGCAAGTTAAACGAAAGAGGGGAAGGCCTAGAAAGTTGCAAATCAGCTGTCAATCTGATCAGAGTCGCCCTAACTCGAACTGTAAAGATGCAAAAACTCTAGATTTAAGCAGCCAGTTGAGTGTTGACAAAATTTGTTTGAGTCGTCTGCGTGGTAGACCCTCAAAGACCAAGGAGAAAGCTGTTGGTCTTCACATAGAAAAGGAGAATGTCAAATGTAGGCATGGGAGTCCCCTAATAATGCCTGAACAGAGTATGAGTGACTCTATTGATGAATCCAGGAGACCAAAAAGTACCTACACGGCTAAGACACCTGAGTCTGATGGAACGAAGATGGTACGCAAGCGTGGAAGACCTCCAACACCACAGAAAAAGAGGAAATCAGGGGTGACAGATGAATCACATTGTAAAGCAAAGAAGAGACTGAAAGTTCGCGAGAGTTGCTCAGAGTCATGGCACAACAGTCCCTTAAAAGATGGCGAAAGGATGGTTAAAGAACAACATAATGCGCAAGATGAAACTGGAAGGCAATCCAGATCAGAGTCTAAGAAAATGCTGAGTGACCGAATACTGCAGTTACTTCTAGCTGCTGGTTGGACTGTTGAGTACAGGCCTCGAATTGGAAGAGCCTATCAGGATGCTGTGTATCTTAATCCTGAGGGAAAGACTCACTGGTCAGTGACTAAGGCTTATCAAGTTTATAAAAGACATTTGGAAAGCAGCATGGATGATCAGATGAACTCTACCACTGGTTCTGGTTTTGGCTTGCTACCAGAAGAGGACCTTCACTTATTATGGAGAAAAACTCAGAAGAAAAGGTGCGATACAGGGAAGCCAAGGTCAAAATTGAAGGATAGAGATTCTAATGAAAACATGGTCTCAACAGAGGGAAAAATCCGGTTGCAGAAGAAACGAAAAGGGAGTCATGGATCGCACAACTTAGAAAGAACTTCTGTTTCAGTCAGAAAAATAAAGAGGGAAGAAAAACATATTAGAAAGCGATGTGTTCCGTCGGCTCGTAGTTCTTTGGAGGATGAGAATTCTAAGGAGGATGAGTACATTTTATTTGAAGGGAAACGGACCATGCTGAGTTGGATGATTGATTCAACCATTGTCACACTGAACGGAAAAGTTCAGTGCATGGACTGCAAGGAAACGCACATGCTTCTAGAAGGAATAATAACAAAAGAGGGTATTCGATGCAACTGCTGTGATGAAGTGTTCTCTGTTCTTGATTTCGAGGTTCATGCTGGAGGGAAGCGCAACCAGCCATTCAAAAGTCTGTATTTAGAGGGTGGGAATTCAATCTTGCAATGCCTTCTTGAGTCTATGAATAAACAAAGCGAATCACAACTTAAAGGGTTCCATTTTGTGGACTTTGATGGCGGGGATCCAAATGATGATACATGTGCTACTTGCGGGGATGGGGGAGATCTTATCTGCTGTGATGGGTGCCCATCAACATTCCATCAGAGCTGCTTGGGCATAAAAGTAAGTTGCTGCTTAATATGAAATTTTTATGATAAAGAGGGGTTTTCTGGGAAATGACTCTATTTTGGTCAAAAGCCATGGTATTGTATGGGTTCTTAAACTGAATATATGGGTAATGTTTGATAAGGAAGATATGACGATTGACCATTTTAAGTATTTATATAGCTTTATTTGATGAATAGGGTTATTGTTTATGTTTCTACTAGACGTAATATCTTTCCAAACTGCAGAAATTTCCGTCTGGTGCTTGGTATTGTTGCAACTGTTCATGCAAGTTTTGCGAGAAAGCTGAGGCAGCTAATCATGACATTTCAACTCTACCCCCCTTATCGAGTTGCCGCCTATGTGAGGAGAAATGTATGAACGACACCTTAAATCAATCTTATCTATAATTGCATTTATATGTACATGCTCCTTTTAAACTTCTTCAATTGGACTTCTACTCTCTAAGTATTTTTCCCTTCACACTCTTGCAGATCACCAAGCATGCATCAGCCAAGATGACAAGGTGCCTGGTGAGAGGAATACTGATTCATTTTGTGGCAAGTATTGTCAAGAGGTAACCTTCCTTTTCTTTTGTTTTATCATTTTATCATGGGGCTTTATTACTTGAAACACGAGGTAAAGTTTGCAAAAGAAAATTCGTGGAAGTTTGTAAATGTATTTGCATGTTATTTATACATGCATATTTTAATTGGGCTAGATAGTAATGTGGATAAGGACCTGGTTAAGTTTTTGGTCTATTTAAGTGGAATCTGAATTTAGTCTAAGAGGTCTCTCTGTGGCAATACAATTTCTTACGAGCAAAATTTATTTAAGAATACTTGATGATTCTTCATATGTGATCACCATTGTTCGACGAAGTCTTTCTGTTTACCATATAGAGATAGAAATTTGGATGATGATTCTTTGGGACTCGAGAAAAATTTGTAGCAAGGAGGGTAGAGTATTTCAGTAATAAATTTTTAGCATATACATTCTTAGATTTGGGGACTACGAAAACGTAAAAGACAGTACGGAAAATACCTTTATATGATTTGTAGATTAATTGGATTAATATTTTTTGTGGCTTAATGAAAGTAAAAAATGACACTTACAGCCGTTTCTGTAGATATGGGCATCAGGTTGAACAATAGGCACATTAAATAATGATACCTCTTGGACATTAATCTCTCAGCATGCTAAGTAATTCATTTGCTCTTCTCTTTCTTCATTTTTATCTCTAGTTATTCAAAGATCTTGACTTACTCATTGGAGTAAAACACCCACTGCCTGAGGGCTTCTCCTGGACATTCCTTCGCCGCTTTGAGCTCCCAAGTGAGGTTGCTGATTGTGACATATCTGAGAAGGTTGCATCTAATGCTAAACTGGCTGTTGCATTTTCTGTTATGGATGAGTGCTTTTCACCTTTGGTTGATCACAGGAGTGGAGTCAACCTGCTTCAAAACATTGTTTATAATTTTGGGTAAGGTCATTCCCAAAACCTGTCCTTACATGCTTCTGCTTCTGTTTTGTTCAATTTGTTTATTGGCAAGTATTTTATGGATGTAAACAGCCCATATGCTACTAAATTATATTTTTTTTTTTCCTATTTGTTTTGTAGGTCGAACTTCTATAGGCTAAATTATAGCAATTTTCTCACTGCTGTTTTGGAGAGGGGGGATGAAATCATTGCTGTGGCGTCTATCAGGTATGTCTGTGGTATTATGAAATTGATTACAAATGCTATTAAGTTTCTAAAAACTTGACATGTCTATATTATCCAATTAAGCATTACCTAGATGTGACATCATACTGTTTGAATCAGAGTAGTGGATTTACTTGCACAAAGCTCAATTGTAAAAACCTGTATGTAAGAGATAATTGTCCTAAAAGCTAGTAATGATTTATTGAGCAACAAATCTCTTGTTGTGTGCATATCACATATATTAAGCTTTTACCCCTTAATCAAAATATGATTTCTTCTAATAAACTTACAGACTTCTTAGATTGGATAAAACGTGCCACACGTTAGTAGTTTATGTCTTGACATGAGAAAAACAAATTCCTCAGATATATGCCTCTACATGGTCTGAATTGTTGTTGTATCATTGCTGGGTTCTCAGAAAATCTGAGAATTATAACTGTAGTCTTTTGTATAGTAACTTGGATTTTTGTCCCGTGATTTGATTTATCTTTACTCAGGATCCACGGAAATAAATTGGCAGAAATGCCGTTTATCGGAACCCGCTATATGTATAGGCGTCAAGGGATGTGCCATCGCCTAATGAATGGCATTGAATCTGTAAGCTCTCCTCCACATCTTTTCATATCCTAAGCTCTATTTTCTCTCTTTCAGCTATTAGTTTGGTTGTTATTTACATTAAAGTTCTGGTTTAATTCTCTAAAATGTCTCTTGCTATATCTGAAGAAGTCTGGCAAGTTTGTTGCTATACTGCTGGTTTTGGCTATAGACCATACTTGTTTCACAGGTTCTTTCAGCGCAGGTTCATTTAAAGAAAGAAATTGAGATTTTTTTTTGCCATTTCTATGTTCATTTTAATTATGATATGGTAAATGACTAAATGATTGCTAGATAGGATCACACTGAACTAAAACATAGATTTATGTAGGCATCTGATCTCACTCATAACAGGTGATGCAAACTAGTCAAGCTCTTTTTCAGTATGTCATATTTCAGTCTTCTATGTTGTTTGATATACACTTCATTTTGGGTAATCCAGTGGACGGTTTTGTTTACAATTTTCTGAAGATCCATATTACATGTGCTTTGTTATCAGGCGCTCGGCTCTCTCAAAGTAGACAAATTAGTCATTCCAGCGGTGCCAGAACTGATTGATACATGGACTTCAGGCTTTGGCTTCTCGCCTGTTAATGAATCAGCGAAGAAAGTAATTAAGAAACTGAACTTGTTGGTGTTCCCTGGCGTAGGCATGCTAGAGAAATCATTGGTCAATGAGAAGATTTCTGACTCAATTGCGTCCACTTCCAATGGTAAATTCAGTTTCCCTTGGCATCTGATTTCTTAATTTACCCATGTTATGTGTCTACGTGCATGTACTGACTGACTTAAATCTACTCCAGGTTTTCTGCCATTGGCACCTGAGATGAGCTTCCCTGTAGACGTTGAGGATACTAACCCTAAGGATTCTAAAGACAGCACACACAAGCAAAATTGTGCAACTGCTGATGTTATATCTCCTTCTTACCCATTTGATAGCTGCTTGAAGTCAACGAATTTAGAACAGGGAAATAATGATTTAGATTCCAGTCTGAAGCTAATTAACGGGTCTATGGAGAAGAAAGAAGAGATTGGGAAAAAAATGACAGATAAAAACGTCAATTCCCTTCCGGAAGAAGGTGATGATTTCCATGGGAATCAAACTGATACAAAAAGGCAGGAAAGTGATGATTTAGAAGATAAGACGCCATTAGCTGATGATGGCTGTGGAGGAAAAGCCGAGAGTACTAAGGAGTCAGATCAACAACCCGATTGTTACATAATAGATAATCCTCAGCCAATTAACAACAAAACCTTAAAGCTAAAGAGGGAAGTGGCTACCACATTGCGAATATCACCCCGACTGATTCAAAGATCGTGGAGAACATCATGGGTTAACTAGAAGTACACAGGTACTAATGCCGTATTGGACTTTCCAGACTAGTGTATCTGAGGTTCATTGCATAAACGAAGCTTTTGTTTTTTGTGCATATGACCAGTCTTAACGCATTTTGTCTATAGATGAGCAGCTCTTTGCCATTTCCGGGTGTAAACGGAAAGGTGCAGTTAAAAGGAAAAGTAGTTAGTATTCTAATTTCAGTACTTAGTGGTTTCATTAGTTACACATCGAGCTAAAGGTCAGTAACCTTGCTGTGCTCAATGCTTATTTAGACTTTTAATTTTAGGTACTAAACAATTTCTTTCAACTGCATTTTGTTGTTATGTAAAATATTTGAGCTGCTTAGTCATATTATCTAATGTTGAATTATCCACTGGCGTACGAGCTATGATGTTTCTTTTCTCTTCACATCAGTATGAGTTTATGACCAACTACTGAATATAGAACAAGTTATATAGTATTACTTAGAAGCTTTATAATATTTGTTCATTAGTATTTAATAATTTATTATAAGATTCCAAAAAAAAACAACAATTAGCAAGCTAAAACAAATTTTAATAATTTAATCACCACATTTAATACCTCCAGGGCCACCATAAGACACAGCAATACCAACATCCTCATCAACATATCCTACATAGTGAACATCATAGCAAACTTTGCTATCCACCAAAGGCACAGCCATAAATTCATTGAATCCGGCATGGGTATCGTCCATGTCTATTGTAGTAAGATGGTCTAAAGAACCAGACGCAAGACGATCATGTTTATTTGGAAGATGACCATTACCCATTGGTGGACTTGGACTCCTTGGATCGCCTGTAACAATTCCTCCGAATCCAACGAAATTTGCGCCATATCGAAACAGATTGAACAACTCCTTTGGCCAATATCCTAAATGTTTTTGGCTAAGTTGATCCGGATTTGTTTGTGAAAACCACCAGTCTTTGGTTTCCTTATCCTTTTACATGAATTAGCAGTGGCAAAAGTAATTAAAAAAGTAACTTTTCATTCATAGAAAATTCAAAATATTTATAGGAAAATTTTGTAGGATTTCACGATGTTTTCTTGTATATATATTGTTTGCTATAAGAAATTGTGTGACTAATTAAATAGATTTGTTCTTAGAAAAAAAAAAGAAAAGAGTACCTGATGTATAGTAAGCCAAAGAAGATGACTACGACCATCCGTAACGTTCAAAGGTTTATTCATTGGATCGTCATAGGCTACTTGAACAAATCCTGGACATTGTAGATTCATACAACCAGATCCAAGTATCCCCTAAAAATTGAAATTAACTATAAATTAAAAAAATTAATACGTTCAAAACATCCAAATTACATAAGATATATAGTTGATTAGGAGAGCTAATCTATATATAATGTTAATTTGGTGTGAATTTTTACCAGCCATGACCCATACCGCCATGGTCGTGTATCACCAAATAGTTTTTCATTGATCTGTAAATGATTATAATCCACATAGCTTTAGTTAAGAAACCAATCATATATACATAATAGATATAAGATAAGAATTGAAGATAAATATATATTAATACCATCCATCCAACTTGAATAGAATTGCCATCGTATTTGGATCGAGAGGCTACATAAGCTATAGCACTTGAACTTTGATTTTTACCAATGGAGACGTTATAAGTCCATAAACCAGCTTCCATGCCTAGGTGATTGCGTGGTCCATCTATTTTCATTCCTGCAATCTATAGAAATGTGTTAATTCGACTAATAAAGAAGCTTAATACTTTTTTAATAAAAATGTAAAATTAATGGTAATGATGTATACTTACATGGGTACCTGGATATTGAGCTGTGAGAGTAGTAAACTGATTGATTGGGTATTCTTGAGATTGCATGACATGTTCTTTCTTGGTTCTTAAAATAGGAACGGTTCCAATTGGACATTGTATGTTGTTGTTGTTGTTGTTTTTGTGTTGTGTGTCTACGAACTTGTTCTTTGGTTGAGAATCCCATCCAGTTGGTTTCATCTAATGCGAAAAGACGAAAACGTATGTAAGTATAGTAGTCAGTGTTCAAGAAACCGCTAGGTGGTAACCCAACATCTAGGCGGTTTAGTCGTTTACAACCTAAAACATTATATATACGATATTTTATCTAAAAATTATATAAAAGTATATGTTAGAGAAGTGAAAATAATAAATCATAAACAAATATGAGAAAAAAACATTTTTTTTTTAATTTCTATCAACAACATATGAACATATTTTTTTTTTAACACAAAAAAAAGAATTATATATTTGAAACTAAAACTTAAAATTTTAAATATATCTAATTATAATTATAAAAAAATAGAACTTATGAACTTTTAGACGGTCTAGACGGCCGTCTAGGCGTCAGCTGAGCACCTAACGCCTAAGCGACCGCCTAGAAAAAATAGAACATAGTAAATTTTAAATATATTTACTATGTTCACTTAGCATGTTACCTACTCTAAGAGAAAATCAAAACAATCACAGAGACTTCTCAAGTCTCAAACAATCAGAATAATCGCATAAGCATAGGGTAAGAAGAATTTTTGTATTGATTAAAGGTTTTGAAGATGTCAATATATTTAAATTAGAAAGAAAAATAGATAAGAGATAAACGCAATAACAAAATACCTGAATTTTATGATGTTTCAGCAATGGATGACGAAGAGATGGTTGTTTATAAATATCTACGCAGTCGTAAATAACATTTTTACTTAACTACAAGGGAAAAAAGCAACATAATTTAATTAACAACAGTAATTAAAGACGAAGATTTTTAATGTATGGTAATGTATTTCTCTATACCTTGATAGATTTCATATGTTTAGCAGATTCACTAGATAAAACTAAAAGTATAAACACAACAAAACTCACAAAGATATCCATTGAAATCATCATGTTTCTGATATGATTAATCTTGCAAAAATAATGATTGTAAATTTTTGAATGCTTTAGAATACAATAAATTAATGTTTTATTTGGGGTTAAATACAATTAATGTTTGAATCTATATATATTAATGCTAAGCCCTTTATCTTTCAACCTATTAGTAATAACATATATGGCAAATGGCAATAGTTCCTGTTTTTATTTAAAAAGAAGTGAAGAGAGAAAATATTTTTTTAGATGGAAGAAAAAACAGATTCAAAAAATCATAAGATATAAAGTAGCATTAATAAGTGGGGGATTTTTTAAAATAACCTTTCTCTTATACCTTTTGCAAAATACCATTTCTTGTTGTCCATTTTCAATTATACCCTTTTTAATATATAAAATGATTAAATTCTACACCTAAAACTTCGAATATTAAATTTTACCCCACAAAAATATATCCTAAATATAAAATAGAAAATCCAAACCTATAAAAAAATCTAAAAAAATAATTTAACATATTGTAATTGATTAAAGATGGCAAAAATGAAAATGACAAAAGAGTAATTTTGCAAAAAGGTATCAAAGAAAGGGCATTAGCCAAAATTTCTCTAGTATAATATCATATGAAATTTCAGTTATACTATTTATTAAAAAAAGTGCTACAATAACCTACATTTTATTTTTCCTGAAACATCTTTGATGACATGATCTGTTTAACATTTTTACTACCAATTAAATAATAAAACGAATTATATAAATTTTGGCTACGTATAAAAAAAAATAAAAGATATGTTTAGAGTAATAAACTTTTGATTATAATTTGGGCTGATCAAAAAATCAATTTGATTTTGAAAACCGAAAACATTAAAAAAGAAGAAGGTATCTATATAATAAAAGAAGAAATCAGTAAATAGACTTTTCTTTTATAATGTCTTTTTTTCGTTTGTTTTAGTTCATTTAATATTCTTTGTTTTTCAGTTAATTCCACCAAAATTCACTTTTTAATCTTAATTTTCAATAATTTAGCTTATCATACTTAAAAAAAAAAATCTGTTATATTTTGTTTTCACACGTGTTTAAATTTATTAGGTCTTGTTTAATTCATAGTAATTTTAGCATTTTTGGAAAAAAAATCAAAACAATCATTATTTGATTAGTTAATTCATACAATATAAATCTAGCATTCTTTTTTTTCTTGGTAAGAATAGATCTAGCATTTTTGATGGCGTTATGTTTTTGATATTCGATCCACTCTTACAAGTGATTATCGTGCACTTGCTGTTCTAAACGAGTTCTTATGTGATTTTAGCCTCTTTAGAGTTCGAAGTAAGAAAAGCTTGCTAATATCAAGTTTTGGCGGAGAAGTTATGCCGTGAAAATGTATGTAAGTTATAGACCTCTATAATAAGGAGAGTTAGAGGAAAAGAAACATAAACTAGCAAGATAAATATATACATACATAATATATGAATGTATTGGTGATTTGTGATTTCTTTTATAGATATAGGTAAGTTATCCACGTCATATCACTATAATTAGATTATTGTTTTTTATGTTCTTGTTTAATCGTAATAAATAATCAAATTAAATTAAATGAATTAAATTTATGTTACAGAAATATTAAATTTGTTCGCGCGTCGGCAAACATATATTTTATGGCAAACAAAAAAAAAACTAATTTTAAAGTTGTTCTAATATAATTAAGGGAGAATTTCAAAAATACTCCTTTTTCAATACCACTTTTTAAAAATACTCCTATTTCTAATTTTATCAAAAAGTCACTATAAAATTTGAAATTTATCAAAAAAATATGTGTAAGCTTATATTTATAGATACAAATCATTTTTATATGTGTGTAAATTTACATATATATTTCATAAATACCGTATAAATACCTTTTAAAAACCTTTTAAAAATCATTTAAAAACCTTATAAAAACTTTGTAAACCTTTTAAAAATCTTATAAAAACCTTATAAATGTCGTTTATAACCTTTTAAAACCTTGTAAATATTTGGATTTAGACTCCTAGTAGTAATGATGATCTTGATGTATTTTGATCTCCTAGTGTTATCCACTAAGAGACGTTTCTTAAGATATAATACATCAATTTCTATTTAATTTTAATCAAAACAATCATAAGATTCAACTAAATTTTTACTAAGCAACCACCAATAATGGTGGTCTAACATTTTAACTTACATTTTAAATATTAAACTTTGCGCTGGCTTTGTGTGAACTAAAATGTCATTTTGTTCAATCATAATGTACTTCCCTACATTTTCCCAAAACCATCACACAATTCTACCATCTATTCTAAAATTTTTGTAATCTACATTAACTTACAAAATCAGTTTAATCAACTTTTTAACATCAGTTTAATCAAATTTTTGTAATCTACATGAACTTTGTAACATCTCAGTAACAACTTTTAAAAACTATTCCTTATGTTTTAATGATTAAGTATTTTATTCAGTTCTTTTTTTTTCCTTGACAACCAAGTAACCAACAACAAGTAGCTAGCGATAGGGCTAGCTTGATATAAAAATCTAATAGCCACATTTAAAGCCTCCAGGACCACCATAAGACAAAGAAACACCAACATCATCATCAACATAGCCTCTATAGTAAACATCATAACATTTGTTACTGTCCACCAAAGGCACTGACTTAATATCATTAGCTCCGACAATAGTATAGTTCGAATCTATTATGTTAAGATGGTCAATAGAACCAGACCAAAGACGATCATCTATGTTTGGTAGACGACCATTACCCATTGGTGGGCTTGGACCTCTTGGATCACTTGTAACAATTCCTCCATATCCAACGAAATCAGCACCATCTCTTAGAACATTAAACAACTCATTTGGCCAGTATCCCACAACTATTCGAATCCCAAATGGTTTTATATTTGTAAGCCACCAGTTTTTTGTTTCCTTATCCTTTTATATAAATGAGCAGATTCATAAATAATTAGAAAGTGTTAGTTAACCATAGATTCAAATAATATATCAAATCGAATATCTCAGAACGATCACAATATATTCATGTTATTCAGTGACCGTAGTTGAATAATTCTGTACACACAACTTTTTTTTTGTTAATTCTAAACTATATATGTTCTAGTTTCAGATTTTATAGAAAATATTAATGATTTTCTATGAGTAATTGTGTAACTAATTAGCTTCGATTATAAACTTTGATCCTTAGAAATTAACTTTAATGAAAAAATTGCATAATATACTGAAAAGTACCTGATGAATAGAAAACGAGAGAGGATCCTGAACATTGGACAAAGGTTCACTTATTGGATTTTCTTTATTTACTTGAATAAATCCTGGACATTGTACATTGAAACATCCTGATCCATGTTTTCCCTAAGACTTAGAAATATTAGTCATATCTATAAACATGCAACAAATCCAAATTACATAAGATATGTATATACGTTATAAAATATATATAACCATGCACATATTTGGTATGAAATTACCAGCCATGACCCATACGACCATGGTTGTTTATTGCCAAATAGTCTTTCATTTATCTGTAAATGATTTTTCCCATAGCCTTAATCAAGAAACCAATCATACATATATCATAGATAGATAGAGAGATGTATGATACGAAGAAAATATTTGTGTACCATCCATCCAACTTGAATAGAATTGGAGTCATCGTTGGATTGAGTAGCTACATAAGTGTGAGCACTTGAGCTTTGATCTTTACCAATGGACAAGTCATAAGTACTTATCCTTGCTCCTACGCCTCGGTAAATATTCTTTCCTTCTGTTCTCACTCCCGCGATCTATAAATGTTAATTCGACTACATTAAGGAGCTTACCGTTCATATTATTTTTTTTCACAAAAAAAAAACATTTTTTATATGTTTTGTTAGAATTCAACCATACAAAAAAAATATAGTTAGCTAGATCATTAGTGGCGGACCTAGAAATATTTTTCAAGGGGTAATATTAGATTTTAAAAAACTATTTTATTTAAAAACCTTTATAAATCTACAAAAATAGAAAAATTATAGTATTTTGAATTTTCAATACTTCAATCTAAGCTTAAATATTGGAATTGTTTTTTTTTTTTTATAAGAAATTAGTATTTCCATTCTCTCATCAGGATATGAACGAGATTTTTTTAAGTTCATTAAAATAACTATTGTCGGGTTTCTGTAAAATCTTACAAATTCGAAATTGTTTTAATAAAAACAGAATACCAACTCAATTATTAAACGTATCCTAAATCTTAAATCATAAAAATAAAGCTTAAGAAAAACGTTTGTTAGGGATTCTATAGAGCATATTTCCAAGAATCTCAAAAAAAATTAAAAATTAAGCAGTAAAGGGGGCTCTCTCTAATGTTTATAAAAATTTAGACATGACTTGTTTTTTTGGTTTACGTATATACTTGAATTTAGAATTAATTATATTTTTTGAATAATTTACATTGTCCTACATATTATCTATTGCAATGGAAATGTAGAAAATATATACTTACATGGGTACCCGGATACTGAGCTGTGAGAAAATTGAAATGATTCTTGGAGTATTCTTGAGAATATAAGACATTTTTATTCTTGGTTCTTAAGATAGGAACAGTTCCACTTGGACAATGTATTCTCTTTTTGTGCCTTTTATTTACAAGTCTATTCTCTAACTGAGAATCCCATCCTGATGGTTTCATCTAAACCCAAAAATTGAAAAGCATGTGTAAGTAAAGTGTTCACTTAACAAACTAGCTTACTGAAACTAGAATGGATGCTTTGGATATACATTTCTTGATTTGTGTAATCAAATAAGTAACATAGAGTTGTTATCAACAATGAACATATATATGATCAACTTTAAGACAGAACCAACACCATCTTAAAGATTTCTTGAAACTTGAAAGAGACTTTCCGATAATTAAAGTTAAAAAAAAAAAAAAAAAAAAGGCCATAGCCCTTCGAACATCTATGTATGGTTCATTCACTTTGTATTGTTTAGTTTTTTTGTAAGGTTAAAAATAATACAAAACAAAATACCTGAACATTATGATGTTTCAACAATGGATGAAGAAGAGATGGTTGCTTATAAATATCCATGCAGTCGTAAATAACATTTTTACTCAACTACAAAGAAATTTTGAAAAGCAACATACAGTTAATATAACAATACTAACGAAGAAGATCACAGTATCGACCTTTTTACCTTAATCGATTTTATATGTTTAGCAGATTCGACAAATGAAATTAGAAGAAGGAGCAAAACAAAATTCACGAAGATATTCATATGAAATCAAAAATATGTAAAATTTTCATTTCCGTGATTGGTATTATTTATTGGAGTATAATAAGTATCATATATTTTATCTTTTTGAGAAAAGTGTATATGATACATATAGTATGGAAATTTAACGTATGCTTTGCAGTAGTGTTAATGCATATATTTAGCTTTAGACCTATAATTAATGAATATGGATCAGTAACAAATTAAAGTATGAACAATATAAGAGATTCACATAATCATACTTTGTCAGCAAAACCTGCAAATTAAATACCCTTTACAAAAATGTGCTTTTGTAAGATATTATTTAAAGAGAAAATTGCTTTTGTAATGACTTCTTGTTTTTCCTTAAACAAATAATGACTTTATTTTTTATAAATGTACTTTTGGAATGTTAGATACCATAAATTTTTTTAACTAATATGGATCTAATTAACTGATTTATGTCTTTAGGAAAAAAAATTATTGATAAACTTAGTATTTAAGTAAATTACAATAAGAAAATAAAATCTTTACACGATTTTGATATATTTAACAAATATCAGAAAAAAATATATTCAATTGGTAAAATTTATTTCTTGTAGATTTTCGGGTTACAAGGAGGTAAATCAGCTATTAAATACTCACTACAAAAAAACATACCAATTTTCGACAACGATAGTAATCGGAAATTAGTATCGTTGTCGAAAATTAGGATCTGTTCTTCTAGTGAGCTTCTTATGATTGGTCTGTTTTTGCTTTGAAATCAGAAGATTTCCGCCGAACTAAACTTTTTTTAACCTTCTTTTAATTTATATTTTTCTCATGCCTTGCAAAAAATCACGATCATGAGGTTCTTATGGAGAAGCTCTAAATTTATATACAGACACGAAAGTGTACTACGTCGTCGTACATAAAAGGTTATACGTACCAACCAAATCAAACATGTTTAAAGGTAATTAAAACACACATGTCATAAGGTCACCTCATGGAGCTGACACAATCTTATTTCTTTTAGTACATAAAAGGGTTATACTATAACCCAACCAAACATTAAAACACAAATACACATGTCATAAACTCACTCATAGAGTGATGACAGACAATTATTTTACGTAAAATACACACACAAGTACTCAAGTAGAGTACCAAAAGACTTTGGATAGCTTAACATGGGAAGTAACAAATACATCTGTGATATGGGAAGCGATAGTTGCAAGATCCATGTCGTGCTCCTTCAAGGTTAATGCACTGATTCTTGCATGCATTATTGTTTCCACAAACTCCTGACCATGTTCCACTTGACCTCTCGCATAACTTTGCTTCCACCATTGTTGGTGCTTCTGCATATATTTATATTTCTCATGGTTAATTCCATATCATTATAAAACAAATCTTGATAGCTAGGTAGCTCGTTTAATATGTAGATGATAAGATAATATACTCACCAAGAGAAGCAAAGAGAACCAGAGTAGCGAAAAAAAGAGCGATGATTGAAGCAAACTTAGCCATGAGTACTATTACAATTTTGTTTTCAAAGTATGTGTAGTGTGAGGAAATAAGCATAATATGAACCTCTATTTATAGTGAAATGATATTGAGTTTAAGTCTCTTACATTTTTATCTTACAATAAGTAAACTATACACACACTTAATTAATTTCTTCTAGTAAAGTAGTAAACAGTAGAAGATAAGATGTTTGACTAGTTCATAAGTGGGTTTCTCAATCACATTTCAGGTTACCTTATCTAATACGTTTTTACTAGTCTTTTACTTTTGTTTTGGTCTTTGTTCCGAGTTTTTTCATCGAGTTTAAACTTTTATTTAATTTGGTATATATAGATTTGAGGTTGTTTTGGAAAAAAACAAACTACATACAAACGCACAATTAACTAAAGATGCAAAATCATATAGAAGCATCAAGTTAATTGTTATATCGAAGTCTCACAATTTGGAATCTTCCCAAAATTTTTGTATTTATAAAATTAAGTAGAGTAGAACAGAGCTTGATAACGTCAAATATGGAAGATTTGAAACTTTTATTTGCAATTTCATATATTATTTTGTTTTGATTTCTGATATATGTGAGTAGGTCGCAATTAAATTTTTAATGTTTTCAAAGAGATTAATCGTTTTGATTGATTGAGATGTTGATTTATAAATTTGTAAGTTGGTTTCCTCATCTATGTTGTTTTTAACACTCAAACTTTATCAGCTAGTTAATTAGATACTTAAATATATATATGTGTGTTAGATATGCATGAATAATGGTTATAAATATATAGATAATTCTATTGAAATTTTGTCCCAACCGATATATATGAAGCTGATTTTTTTTGCAGATTCGTTACGTAATTTATAAGTTCTCGTGTATTTGACTTTTAATATTGTAGTGTGATCATTCTAACCTTAAAAAAAATCACTATCTCTATCCAATGTGACTTAAAATGGCTGCTTTGGTTTTGAGTTAGTGCTATATATCATTCACATTAGGTGGCAGACTAGTGGCAGAGCTGATTAACTTGGACACATCATCAAACATATATATTTGAATAGAAACTTTTTTGGGTCATAGTTGAGATAACTTCGTTGAAACTTATCGAAGTAAAAGTAAAATTGCATTTTAAAACATACAAAGCTGAGTAGCTGACAAATTGGAAGTGGAAACGAGAAGCATTATCACTATCACATCAGATAATGGTGGAACCACAATGGTTCACAGATGCTTCGCGATCAACATATATTGACTATCCTATACTTTAATTCTTTTTTTTTTCGTAATTCATATCTTATCACAACCTATAATAATTTTACAAAAAAATATCATAACAATTCATGTACATAAAAATATTCTTTTAATAAATAAAATGTACGTACAAATAATTGCGTGAAATAGTTTTGCAGAACTTTTTTAAATCGATGTCGTATGAAGATCTCCTTAAAATAGGTTGGCAAAAAGATAGCTACTGTATGTCTAAGCATTACTGGAAATGTTCTTACTAGGATTGTTGCATAACATATAGCTAAAAAAGTAATATATTAGATTTTAACCCGCGATACACCGTGTGACAAACTTTCAATTTTTATTTTATTTTAAATTCTAATTTTTCTATTTTGCTGAAATTTGTTTAGGATTTATTACTATTGCAAGATATCCATATTATGCTGGAATTTGTTTAGTAATAGTAATTGCATAATATGGATTTAAAATAATTCGGAGAACAGTAATACTAATTGCATGGATTGAGGAGTTTTAAGGAATAGTAATAGTAATTGCATAATATGGATTTAAGAGTTTTGAGGAATAATATAGTAATATATTTAGGAATATGTTAAGAACGGAATACGAGTATTCTCTTATTCCTTAAAACATCAAATTTTCTAGATCCTAGATATATTATTACTTTAGCTCTATATTGTGCAATGGTCCTAGTAAGAACATATCCAATAATATGCTAAGTCATATCTATCTTTTTGCCAACCTCTTTTAAGAAAATCTTCATACGACATATCGATTAAAAAAGTTTATGCAAAAGAGAATACTCGTATTCAGTTTCTTAACATATTCCAAACGAACTAAAATATTAATGTACATGCGAAAGCGTCCGTTTGGTTCTCTTCATCCACTCTGTAAAACATTGTTTTCCCAAGTCAAGAATTTTTTTAGCATTGTATGTAATTTTTGTAGCTCTTAAATGTAAAGAAAGTCGCTGAACGGCTAGCCTGACGACTAATGATGTTTATTCCACTACAATAACGAAAACGGCAAGTGGTAGGAAAAAAGAAGGGAATTTCACTACGAGAAAATGTGTCAGAAAGTGGTAGGAAAATTTCCTACGAGATTCTTTTAAAGAATAGATTTGTAGGAAACAATGTAGGAAAAGAGAAGGAAAGTAGAAGGAAAAAGCGCGGAAAGAAATTAGAAGGAAATTTTCCTACCAAATCCCTTCAATAACAAAGTAGAAGGAAATGTCGTAGGAAATCAGTAGATATATCGAGGGAAATAAATTCGTAGGAAATTAGAAGGAAACAACAATTTGTAAGAAATTAGTTTGTAACCTTTTAAACACAAAATATATATTTATAATTTGCAATAAATAAGTTTGCAACCTTTTAATACTTTGTTTGAGTAGTAAATTATTAATCCCTAATTGATGTGATTTCTGATTTCAATGAGTATGGTTATCTTAGAGAAGCTGCTGGACTATTCCGGGAGATGTTGGCTGATGAAACAAGCCCTGATGAGAGCACTCTAGCTGCTGTTCTAATTTGTGAGTTCTTCACTTCCTTCTCTGCTAAGAGATAAAGAGAATCATGGTAGATAGTTTCAGAGTACGTTTTGCAGGCATCATTGTCTATTGTCTTGTCATAATTTTCACAGGGGCGCATAAGGGCCTGGAAGGTTTTAGTGCCCAATAGATTTGAACACAATTTGCATTTGATACAGACCAAAAATTACGAGTTTTCTTTGTATCCAGCTGTTGTTTGTCCCACTCATTGTCTTAGGTATTTCCCCATTCATATGTAACACTTTATACCTCCTTTCTTACAGTTCAATATCTTCTTTGCTCTTCCAACACCTGAGTTAGTAATGGCTGTAAAGTAGAGACACTTATATGGCATTATTTTTGATGAATATGTATATATAATCTTATGCTCATATCCACTTCAGACAACACATTATATGTGCCATTGTGACACATCATTCTTTTTAATCAACTTTATGCCTCTGTATCATTTGTTTGTTTCGACATTGGTTAGAAAACTGTTTTGGTAGCTGAAATCCCATTAGTGACATCTTTAGTTATGATAAGAAGAGTATAAATGAATGCTCAAGTTAGTTTGTGACTTCTTGCAGGTAATGATCAAATCACAAGGATATCAAAGAAGAAGAAACAAGACTCGGTGTAGAGACTCAAAGGTTATTTCACATTTTTTTAAAATATATGGATGTGTATAAAGAAATTGACGTATCCTCAGGATTTTATGTCCTCTTTGGCTCAGGTAAATCTTTTTTCTCCCTGCTAATAAACGAACTAGTGAAGAGGGACAATTAAGCTGATACACTCATGTATTTTTTTTTGTCTACTTGTGATCAGCTCTCACATTCTCTTTTGTACTCTCAATTTACGTCTTACAATCTTCACGAGAGAAGCTGGCGAGGTAAATGTCGTTCCTGTTCACTTTGCTTGTATATCTCTCTTTGTTAAACCTAATACTTGAAAATTTTGTTGTAGGTTTGTAAGAGAGACGGTAGTAGAGAGCAGCAACACAAATGTTGGAGAATTTGGCAAGGTGGAGTGAGTCATAGTGAAAGTTTCCTCGGACGGTTTCCTGATTTGCCTCACCTACTTATCCGGAGGATCCGAGTTTGACTCTGACAATCCCCGAAGATGACGATGATGAAACCCCAGAGTAATGAGAACATTTATATGATTTTGGTTGTTTTTATTATTTGGATGTTTACCACTTGGTTTGTATCAACAATTGAAATGTTTTTATATAGAAGTTTATGTTATTTTTTTCGTCTTAAATATTTATTTTCTCAATTTAAAAAATTAATAATCGATTTTAGTAATAATGAAATAAATCGATGCATGAATATTATTTAGTATTTCTTACCACAAATGTTTGAAAGGAATATCGAAGAAAAGGTGAAGGAATTATTGTAGGAAAGTAGAAGGAATAATTTCGTAGGAAAAAATCTTTGTAGGAAAAGTAAGGGAAATAGTTTCGTAGGAAATTTGAAGGAAAGCCTTTCCTACGCATAATTGGAAGGAAATCGGTCAAAAATACCCTTCGCTTTTCCTACCAATAAACCTACGAGATTTCCTTCGGCGCGTTTTTGGTAGGAAAATTTCCTACCAATATCTTACCATTTTCGATTTCCTACGGGCGATTTCCTATCATTTTTTCGTAGGAATATCGTAAGAAACAGCTGTTTCCTACCATTTTTTGACAATAGTGTCCGTAGGAAATCAGCGTTTTTCTTGTAGTGTTCTAGTCTACCTCTTTTTTTTTGTTTTTTTTTGGACACCAAGTTTTTATAGACTAGAACTCTCCATCAATGGAGTAAAAACTTACAAGAACTGAGATTAGGACCAAACAAGCTGCTACAAAAGCCAAGCAAAGCACAAGAAAGCAGTAGATCAAATGAAAGATAGAAGCAATCACAAATGAAAGATATAAGCAATCACCTTGACAGCTATTAAAAAGAGCGGAAAGACGCCATGAGGAACAAAGAGCACCAAAGGTAATCTAATGTCCGAGGTTGACACTGCCACTAAGGCAAAACAACCAATCTTGACTTCGGCTAGAAAAAAAACGGTGACGAACCGATATACTAAGCCTTTGAAGAAACCAGAGGACAAGTTCCTCCGGTAGAACCATCAACAATGTTTACGTACGCGTTCATTTATGTATGTAAGTTTGTAGTCCGTTTATGTCTGTCTATTTAAAACCTACCGGATAATAAAGCCCATTTATGTCCATGTATGTTGATTTTAATTTTAACCATTTTTATATATTCCATATTTTAGATGTATTTTTTATATGGTATTGATATTTCTTCCTAAAAAAATATATAAATTTTAACAATATATTTGCAATATTGATTCATCAAACACTTGAATGTTGTGATCTGCAAATTTTTTTTTTTTATAGTGAAACATAAATAATTAATAATATTGGAAGACTGTATTTAGAGAATGATTATTATTTGAGAATTAATGTTAATATATAAAAGATTTGATAATATATTTTTAATTTGCAGATTATTCTTCTTCAGTTTCTTCCCTTTTTAAAAATCAATCGCAAAATCTCGCAACCACAAATGATTGTGGGAAGGAGATTTTGAAATCTAACGCTTTCGAACGATCCAAAACGGTGTGAACCATTCTATGATTGGTACAAAACGCTAACAACCGCAACCGCCCGCTAGCAACCGCTAGGCAAGTGAGAGCGGGAGAACCAATCAACATCTTAAATGATGCTAGACGATAACAACGTCGCTTTAATTTTAAATGATGTTCCATCTAATTTTGTGAAAGGCCGAATGTCCAACTAAAATCTTCGATAATCAGGTTTCACATTGCCTCCGAAATTGGTTATGTTTGAGCACAGCGAGCTAGGAATTATATTCTCATTTCCACAAACATTTGTAGGCAGCTTCCTGTTTTTGGGTTGTTTGGAAATGTTAATTGAAAGATTTTCATCGGCTTCTTTTCTCTTCTTCAAAGTGAGAACTTCGTAGGGTTTAATATTAAGGAATAATAATATATTGTCGCTTGGGGTAATCACGACTTATTTATATGTAGGATACCTTTAAATTTGGTATATAATAATAACGACTAAAATTTGATTGAAAATTATTTCCAGACCTTGATCAATTAAATATTTAGAAGCAAAAGTTACGGTAGCTAACATATTCGAAAAACAATGATGCGGGAAAAACGAATACATTAGAGCACGAGTTTATAGGGCCATGTTTGTGTTGCTTTGTTAAGGCCAAAAAGTCATACCTAACGAAAATTATAACTAAGGCCCAAATAATTGTATGGTTTGTAATTAATTTAAACGGTGAGGATTAGAAGCTTGCTCTTACAACGAACGACTGAGATTAAAACATATGATTTTTGGCGAAAAAAATCAGACGGTGAGGATTAGAAGCTTCCACTTATACACGAACGGCTAAAATTAGAACATAAATATTTCTGGTTTGATTAGCGGGTCAAAAGATCTGCGCGTTTATCCGTATTTTGAGTTGTTTGGCAACAGTTTTAAGTTTATACTATAGTATTGATACGAAAATTTAATGTTTTTGTTTGGCAACAGGTGCAAATCGCTATTGCTTTAGTAGTATTTAATAGTATTGATATAAGACCGATGTGATGCATATGGCAAACTCTTGTGTTAGATATATAGATGAAGAAACAACATACGTTCATTTATTAAACCATCGAAATACTGATTTTAAAATACTACATAGATAGATGTGTTACAAAGTCAACTAAGATACTATGCGAGAGATCTCATCATCTCATAGACAACTAGTTGCTTATAACATGTACTAGTAGTGTGAATCCGGAAAGTGTAAGAAACTTGTCACACTTTAAAATAGCTTGTAGATAGGCTTCATATCGGTAGGATTGTACAAGCCAAAATGTTGCTCATCTGGGGTGCCCCCCTTCATATTCTCGTTGAACGTTGCAAATATATATCCGTCCATACCATTATTGGGTCTCCTAGGCGTCCCTCTTCCACTTCTTATATGAGTCACAAAATTTCTATTGTAGGTACCCGCGATCTCCCGTGTGGTTTTGTCTCCATTCCCCGCGGATGGCCATCCGGTCTCTGTTACCACCATGGGTAAATCACCCATTCTTTCCTTCTCCATCGCCGACACAAATGCGTCAAACATGGCATCAAACAAGTTCGAATATCCCAATGGTCCATCTTGGACCACGACTCTCCTAGCGGTGAAGGTGGCATACTCCAAAAGGATATTGTTTTTTTCCTCCGCGTAAGCAAAATAAGGATAAATGTTCACAAGTATGGGCGTCTTTGTTTGGGACAATAGTTGCAGAACGGGAACAAGTTGTTTACGTGCTTCGGGTTTGAACGTTCCGTTAGAAGGTGGGAATGATACATCGAGGTTGTCCATAGCCACCACGGTGCTTACTAAGATTGGAAGATTCCTCAACTTGACGAGGTTGGTGAGAGACTGCATGACTGGATGAACATATATACCGATATCTCTGGGGATGACTTCATTACCGACAGTAATGTATGCAATCTTGACATCACTTAAATAAGGCGTGATGTAGGTATCGAACCATCTCCTTACAGCTTCTTCGCTGAGGTGAAGAGGAGCCAAATCCTCGTTCCTAACGCCAACCATGACTTGAAAGTCGCGGCGGCCGCGTAAGGCGTTGAGGACCGTAGTGTCTGGGTCGAAGATTCGGATTTTAGTAACGCCTATGGATTTGAAAAGGTTGAGAACATTGGGCGGAGACGGGAGGTTATTTCCAAGGAGGCCGTAGTTCAAGCCAATGCTATTTGTTGCGGTCACAAAGCCACTATTGTTGTAGTTGACAAAAAGGACAATGCACGAGACCAAGAGACAGAACAGCTTCGCAGGTGACATGATGAAGTGAAAAATATGTACTTCTCTAAGAAGAAGGATGAACCAAACACTTTTTCTCTTTGTTTCTTTAAATTTTGTTATGCTGCAAAGTATAAGTTGCATATGTGTGTATATATAATCATAAGTTGCTTATCTTATTATGGCCAGGCTGAAAAATAAAATATAAAATTCTGATGTTATATTTATGGATATTATGAACGAAATCTAAGTGACAAAAATGAAAGGCTACTAGCTTATTGGCTCTTTGCTTGAGTGATAACTAAAAATATACGATAGTATTATGATGTCACTAGCCTCATACTATTATGATGTCATTAGTTTGATACTATTGTGATGTCACCCGTGTGTAAATCTAACTACTTCATTCCTAGTATAAGAATTTTTCGTAAATTTATCGATCCAATATGATGAATCATTGGTACAAGTTATATGTATGATGATGACTTAGGTGCACCATTGATTAGTGAGTCATTATAAAAGTTTTGTAATACCTCGAAGGCTTTGCAAATGAAATTAGTCATAGTTGATCGACTTATGTTAGTGTTGTAAGTGTTTAATTTAGTGGTAGACATCTTATTGAATTTGTGAATTTACAGTATCAAACTCAGTCACAAAATCTTGCGACATTTTTTTTTTTTAATAACTATGAGGTTTTAGCCTAATCTCATATCTCCTCTCAACCCCAGACCATAGCATGTTATATGGTATCTTTCCAAGCGCTACTCGAATCAAAAACCTCTAGGCTATTGTCAGAGATCTTTACCAATTAAGCTATTGACACTTGGTCATTCTTGCGATATTTTTCAGACAACTTTGAAACGCATCAGCGACCAAAACGATACACAATCATAAAGGAATCGCAAATTTAAGACTACCAAAAAAAGAAAAAATAGTCGTAATTTAGTGAATTAGTGTTCTACATTTTTTGACTTTGTTTACTTCTCAAGGTATTGTGAACTTTGCTAACTCTCAGTTAACATCACTGAACGAGGAAGAACATGAAGATTACATCGAATCAATTAATTGGTCCCCCGTATTTAGAAGTATAGATAACTAAGACTTGGCCTCATATTTTGTTCAAATCCAAAAGACATTATTACAATACTGTTTTCATATATAGTGTACTGTGAATCATAAATGTTGAGAAAGAGATCGTAGTAAAATGTTGTACAAATACAAAATATTAAAGTTCCAAATTAATTTTCATAAAATATATATTATGGCTCTGAGAGATTCATTCATGTTTGAAATTTCAAAGTTATATAAGTTGTATATATGTATACTATCAATAATAGAGAGTTGATCTTTCAAACGGGAAGAATACAAATATGATATTTTGTGTGTGGCTAAGACATAATTGATAAATTGGATATATGTATTGGTATTTGATAAAGACCCGATGTTATAAAAAAAACACATATAAGGGAGAAGCATGACCATCCAATTGAATTGAATGGTGGTTAAAATATGAGGAATGTTCTATTGAGTTTCCTCTAGATTTCTTCATATTTCTTCTATACATAAAGCTTTCTCATTTTTAACTTTCAATGCGAATTAATTTTTGTTTATTGGTTGATGATTAACATTTTTTAAAATGAATTATTATTGGTTGGATTAGGGATCATGTTTAGGTTAATAATAAACAATGTTTTAACTTAGAAAAAAAAATGATTCTCTAATCGGTGTGAAAAAATCTCAAACATCAAATACTAAGGGGTGTATTCAAAGTGGAATTTTAAGAGATTTGTGTAGAATTTATAAATCTTATATTATTCAAACATGATTTTTTAAAAATCTCATGATCTAGTTGTTTTGAACTAATGATTTCAAAATACACTTTAAAAAATGAGGAAGTAGTTTTACTAGATAAAAGAAATGATTTTAAAAGTTTGTTCCAATTGACCCAGATAATTACTGATAGTCTACTAATAACCCACATTAAACCAATATCAAATTTGATCCAATATAATTGTACTGGAAATACTAATTTTGAATTTGAGCCCAAATTTAACTAGCATATACTAGATTTGACCCAATCTTTTTGTGTCGGACCAAACAAATCGGGTTAAAATAAGGATCAAAATTAGTATTTGCGGTTCTAATATATTTAGGTTTGTCAATTAGGGCTAAATCCCGCGGGCTAGTTCGGGCTTGCCCTGAAAAACATCAGGTTCGAGCTTAAATATATATGTTCAGAAAAAACCGGGCTTTTTGGGCTTAAGCCCATTCGGGTAAAAGTTTTTTTGGGCTTAACCTGGTCGGGTTCGGGCCGGCCCGAAAGCCCTTAAACAAATATATTTTGATTTTTTTTAATATTTTAGTTTGATTAGAAGATTTGATTAATGAATTAGTTTTCATATATACTTACTAACCGTACTTAATACTTTTAAAATCTTTATCTATGATATTTTCTATTATTTATATATGTCAAAACTGAACAAAACTAAAACTAAATATATATAAGTATCTTGATTTTGAAATCTAAAAAAATATATATATTAAATTTTGACTTTATCATCTAAATTTTGACTCTATCATCTACTCTAAAGTATTTTAGTTCTATGTTTTACTGGGTTAAAGTGTATATAATTTATTTAGTTTTCATTTTTTTCTCTTAAATTAAGTTAGTTTTATTGAATATTGATAAGTTATTTAAAATTTGATGCATTATTTTTATAGTGGACCTTTAAATATTGTTTTTAGAAAACTATTATGAACTTAGAAATTGATTATTTTTTTATCGGTAAGTAAAAAGCCTGAAAATCCTCGTAGCCTTGTTAGAGCCGGGCCGGGTTTTGAAATATAGGTTCAGATATTTTTCGGGTCGGCTCAAATACATGAAGGTTTTACGGGTTTCAGGCCGTGCTAGCCCGATTGACATGCCTAAATATATTTGTGTTAAAATCAGTATCGGCTTAATGTAGTTTGTTAGTTGTAATTGTCTGATTTAATTGAAGAAACTTTAGATTCGGAAATTAATATAAAATCAAACTTTTTATGATGATTTTTTCAAAAGTCTAAATATTGTGTGTGAAAAGTGAGAAAACCTTTCCAAAAATAGAGGAAGAATACATATCGCAACGCAACACATTTCCCACTTTACTCACCTCTTGCCTCTCTCACTATCACTATGATGCATTTTTCATTTGTGTTCCCTTTGCTATATGCATGAATCTTGAGTTCTTGACACAGCTTTCTAGTCTCTATCGACTCTACGTGTCCTCTATTATGTTATGTCCTCTTTTCATTCTGATAGAACAACTCTTGAAACATTAAGCTATGTGGGCTTTATGTTATTAAAGTTTTAACAAGTGAGGCTTGTACAGCCCGTTTTCTCAACCAAATTCCACATTACAAATTTACAATGTAGTGCACATATCCCACATCGCATGTACTTGGAATCAATTTGTTTTATATATAACTTTGAAAAAGCAACAAGGGTCACGACCTTACTTGAACAGGATCAGTTCTATAGGCTCGTACCTCTGTATCCTTGATTTCTAAGGAGACAGGCCCTTAACCCTGGTTGATGAACCATGACCATGCGATCAGAGCGTGATTAATGGCCACGATTGTCCTCGGATGTATCCGGTGCTGTAGAGGATCGTTACTCGGCTTGGTTCTACCTTGCCGGGGTGGTTGCACGGCGGTCTGACAGGTTTCTTTTTTGGTCAAAACGTTCTCAATGGAACACAAAGTTTGGCGAACCAGAAATGGAAGGAAATCTAGGTTTGGTTTGGACCTAGGCTAGCTCTAGCCCTGACCTAAATGGAACTGGTTGGTTTAAATGGCTGGGTTGCGTTTGAAACGGCATGAACTGTGGTGGTAGATTTCCATATCTAACGTTTACTCGACAGTGATATAAAGTTTATTGTTTGTTACTGTGATTGTTTGAATGTGTTGTGTTAGAGCCTTTAATGTGTATGTAAATTACCATAGATGAAAAGATTTTTAAGTCAATGAAGAGTCTTACTCTTACACAAGTCAGAGCTTGGTTCAATTCTGTAAACTCTTCCTAAACAACACTCATTGGCTAGTTAATTTGCTATGCACACATAGACACTGCAAATAAAAGAAGCTTGCCAAGAAAAGCAAGAAACATCCTTATTATACACAAAGGCACATAAAAATAAAAGTATGATGAATAGACTGTATTTGTAAACCCATAAAAAAAATCCAGTTTCCTGAGTTCTGCAGAGTGATTGACGCGGAGCTTACTCGATTATACAGTTGCTTTTTTCAGGGATAGAAAATCGGAGATTTTGCTGGTGTAGAAGTCTGGTTGTATCTTGTTATCAGGGCTTTCCAACATTGAGATTGAAGTAACACCTTCAAAAACAAGATGAATAAAAGTTTTCTTTACTTAGATGGTTATATTGAGTTTAGTAGTGTCCATAGAGGAACTGTTTACTGATTTAGTTATACCCGAGAGGACGAGCAGAGTTTTGCAACCGCCATTTTGCCCGAATAAAATGTCAGTGTCCAGTCTATCACCAACCATGCATATCTGTGACTTTTGGATTTTAAATCTGCAAAGTACAATATTAGTGATCAACATCCCATGACTTCAAGATTTCATTAGAGATTCTTTTCGATCAAGCAATCGTAAGTGTATTGTTGTTATAGACAAGGGAAACAGAAATCTAAATGACTATATCCTAACTTAGAAGGAATATGAGAATTTTTAAGGCTTACTTGTCTGCTAAATAGTCCATCATAAAAGTTGAGGGTTTTCCAACAACAATAGGCTCACGTTGAGTGGATCCAACAAGAGCACCAACCATAGAGCCACCACCTGAGACATAGTCATGGAATAGTGTCCGGTCAAATACATTATGAACACAGTCTAGACTGTGAAGTTATTACTTATAACTTAAACTCTCAAGGCCTCAAACTACAGCTAAATAAAAACAGTACCAAAAAAATGCATTCAAGAAGCCAACCTGCCCATTCTTGAGCATCAGTAAGGTGAGTGACAGCATCTCGGTTTGTAGCAATGAAAAGACACCCCGGGTTTTCACGGATACTAAGTGTTCCGTACCTTCCATTAAAATAAGGATATTAGATCACCAAAAGCAGAACACAAAGATCTATAAGGTTAGAGCAATCATAAACCAGCAAGAATGTTAGTACTGAAGTGTGGAAGGAAACAAATAATTTGAGGACCTACTGAATTTTGTAGTAGTTGAAATAGCGATCAAATCCAACCACAACAGCTCCCACCTGGAAAGAATTTTCAGTAAAAACTATCCTCAGTGTCTGTCTCAAGTTCAAAGAGAAACAGAAACGCAAAGAACTAAAGGTATAAGAAGGATATACATACATCATGATCATGCTCCATAAGAAATCCTGGCTTCAGTTCAATCTGTTTTTTACCATCATCCTGTATTTGAAGAACTGAATGTTCAGATTACTACAGTTTTTCGCAAAGTAAAAGAGAGAAGATTTAAAAACTCCAGAATTTGATTTGAGAATATCTATTTGCAACTATATAATGCTGAGTTCTTTGGCAAGAAGAAAGATCACAGAGAACCAAGACCGGGAAGTTAGCATCAACGCAAACACAAATCCGAGAAGCTACTAAGAAAGGTCATTATATTGATACATACCGGACCTCCAAGGTATTGAAAACCAGCAAGTTCAAGCTCTTTCAAGATACCCTCCTCACCAATCACATAGACCTGAATATAAATGCATCAGACAACTTGCAAACAGAAGCAATGTACCCTTTTACATGTGAGTAGCTAGACACTATGATAACTGAATTTTGAGTCTTGGCTGAATATTTTGGCGTACCTTCTTATCTTTTGGGAAGTTAATAGACTGTAAGTATGCAGCTGCAGCAAAAGATGAAGCAAATATCTCCTCCTGGTGGAATAAAATGGATACTTTAATCAAAAACAATTTTTTTTTTTTGAAACACTTTCAAAAACAATTTAAGAGTAGCTATATATTGTGAATTAAGTGACTAACCTCATTAACATTGAGGCCAAGAGTCTCAAACTTTTTGCCATACTGTTTCCTAGACTTGGTTGAGTTGTTAGTGACAAAAACCAACCTTTTTCCCTGAAAAGTTAAGAATGACAATGTAAAGGAAGAAACTTCGAAAAAATAATCTAACACAAAAGTAGAAAACCTAAAACATAAGCATTGTCACAGTTCAATAAATTTGATCAAGAGATTGCTTACCAACCTTGGCACGTAGCATATCAAGAGTTTCAGGAACTCCTTCAATCAATGAATCCCCTTTCCATATCACACCTTCAAACCATATAAAACACAAATTGTTCAACACATACAATGCCTAAACCAAAGCGTAATCTCTGGAACATGAAGTAACTCCGGGGTTATCGCCTTTTTAAGGCATTGTAGCCTAGAGGACACTAGAGTGATTTTCGTAAATGATGAAACTCCATTATCAAGATTTTGTGATTCATAAACCATTGTGAACTCTCATTTGTAGTCAATCAATTCACATCAATATCAAAAGAAGCATAATGGTTTTGAAACAATCCTATATATAATCAAGAAACACCATCACTATATCATCTCTTTCTCAATTAACATCTACCTAATCAATACAATAAGTTCTCTAAAACATTATCTATCAAAATCACATAAACCATTGTAAGCACTCATGTGTAGTATATCAATGCACACCAATGCCACCAAAGAGACGTAATGGTTAAGAAACAACCCTAAACCTAATCAAGAAACACTATCACTACATCATCTCTTTCTTCATTATCATCTACCTTATCAATACAGTAAATTCTCTAAAACATTATCTATCAAAATCACATAAACCATCGTAAGAACTCATGTGTAGTCAATCAATGCACACCAATGCCACAAAAGAAGCGTAATGGTTAAGGAAAAACCCTAAACCTAATCAAGAAACACCATCACTATATCATCTCTTTCTCAATCATCATATACCTTATTAATACTATAAATTCTCTAAATCTATGAAAATCACATTATGTGGTTGTTGATGAAACTGACCGTCACAATCAAAGATAAAAGTTTCGACAGAATCAATGAGTTCATCAGCGTTCTCAAGCTGCTGTGCGGCCATAGCTCTTGGAGGAGTCATACCGGAGGAACTTGTCATTCTAAGAGGCTTATGGTTGATTTTACGAATAGAGCCGCCGGAGAATGAAGAAGAACGATAACCAGAGAAGGGTTTCAAGGAGAAGAATGGTTTAGTGTTTGGTAATAAAGAAGAGGAAGAAGAAGAAGAGACCTGTGAAACGGCTGAAGCAACTGATCTACTCAGCATCCTTTTTTTCTTTTCTTTTTTTTTTCTCTTTACTTCTCTGTTTCCGTTTCTTTTGGTTATTTTTTGTTTTTGTTTTATATTTTAATGTGAATATGGATGATGGTGACGTGGTGAATTGAGTGGATGTGGTAGAAGATATCATCCGAGTTTTTCCTTAGCCAGTAGATTGGATGATGCATTATTGGACACACATTGTGCAAGAAGAAAATGGTTCTTGTACCAAAAAATGTGACATGTTATAACTTGTACATTACATAGAAGCACCAACCAAACACACATATAGGCCTGGCTTTCGGATTTCGAATCGGGTTTAAATCGGGTTTTGGATCGGATAGTTTTAAAATTGGATAATTTAGGTAGGGTTTATTATCTTTTTAGATTTTAAGATTATTCGGTTCAAGTATGTGTTAAATTTGGATTGGTTTTTGGAAAAAAAATATATATTCAATTTTGATAAAAATTAGTTTAGTTTATTAAGATTTGGTTAAATTTTGCCAAAAAAATTGTATAAGTTTGATAAATATAACTAAAAACAATTGGACATCTAGGTTATCTATACTATTAATTGGGAAGTACAACTTAAAGCCAAACACCCCCCAATTTTTTAAAAAAATTTCATGAAATTAAAACCAATTGCCAAACAGAATTAATGACAGCAAAAAAAAAAACAAAAACAAAAACTATCTATATTTATGGAAATCATAATAATATTTTACCATAAAAAGTGGACAATTAGATTCAAAATTAAATAAATGTTAACATATCTATTTTGAATATACATAAACATATTTAATATTAATTTAATATTTTAATATAATTTCGAAATTAATAATTTATATACAATGAAATATAATAAAACAAAGATAACATTTTTTTAGAAAAATAAAAAGATAAAAAATATGTTAGCATATGAAATAATCAACTAATCAAATTCTACATAGTATATATACATAACTGATCATATCATCAAATTTTTTAAAAATATATAATTTTAAATAAAAATAAAATTTAAATAAATCAATAATTAAATATTTGTTTGCTAAAATCATGCGAATAAACATTCTAGATCACAAAAATTTCTTATTTTACATAAAAATATTCATATTCAAAAAGCAATCTAGCAATTATAGCACAAAAGATATCTACAAAATTTATCATTAATTCAATTAGTTAATGATTTTTTATTTAGTCAAACAGTTAGTTAATGATTATTCTAAATTTCTTTTTTCTTATTAATTTCACACAATCTTAACAAAATAAATATTCATCCATTGGAAATTTCATATCATTACTATTATCAAATATTAAATAATTGTTTTATCAAATCATAAACTACATTTTGAGATTATAAACATATAGAATTTCTATTAAGATTAAAACTAAATAACAAGTGGATATATCACATTTAAATTATTTTAACGACTTATTACCAATTTTTAAATAATAAATGG